TGATAGCAACCTTTGTATAAGTATTAGAGACTGTGAACCAACATTTGTCAACTCTAGGAGTCAAACATTAATAGACGTCACGGTGACTACGGCGCATATATCTAATGCAATCCAGAACTGGCATGAGGCAGATACTGCGTCAATGTCAGATCACCGTTGGAAAAATTATAAAATTAATATTACCAAAACTAGTCAAAAACTGTTCCGGGACCCCCAAGGAACTGACAAAGATAAATATCTATGTCACCTCTGGGAGAGATTGAGGTATTTGTGAATACTATACAATCCGCCATAAAAAGAGCCTTTACAACATCTTGCCCCCTCAGATCAGTTCAGCAAACTGGCACAATGAGTTGGTGTAGCCTGAAGCTGACAGAACTGAAGAAGGCCAGGATATCGTTTAATAAAGCAAAAATGTCCAGACAAAACTCATATTGGGAACTATACAAAACCCACCTGAGACTTTTAAAAAAACTGGCCAGGAGAAGATAAAGGGATGCATGGAGCCTACTGCGAGGAGATTGAGGACTACTCGCAGGCTGCCAGGCCTTTGCAAAAGAGAAAGATCATGACTTAGATTTATTAACTAGAGAGGATGGCGAGAGAACCATTATTCTAAATGAAAGACTGGAATTGCTTCCTGCGATCCACAGTAATGAAATCGGAAGAATGGCCGGACAAAACCGAACATCCACCTGTGGTCACGAACACACAGATTGTCAACTAGACTATAACCGATGATAAAATAAGATTGGTAATACAAACTTTTTCACTCTTTAAATCGCCAGGCACTGATGGCATATATCCCTTTTACAATGGGGCATGGATGTTTTAATGCCGCACCTGGAAGGGATGTTTAAGCTGTGCTTCGTACACCTTCACATTTCAAAGTGTTGGAGGGAAATTAGGTTTGTGTTCTTTCCCAAAACAGGCAGGCTGAATTACACCACCCCAAAAACGCATCGCCCCTTTAGCCTGACCTTGTTTCTGCTGAAAACGATGGAAAAGCTGTCTGAGCAATATATAAGGAATAGTGTGCTAATGGTTATCCAGACACATCCTAACCAACATACATACAGTCCAGGGTGATCTACCGACACTGCCCTTCACTAGGTGGTCGGCAGGATTAAGAAATCCCCTGGACGATAGAGAGTCCACTCTAGGGGTATTCATTGACATAGAAGGGGCAATTGACAAAATGGCCTTCCCAAAAATGAACTCAGTTCTTGTGGAGAGAAGAGTTTCTCCTACCATCTATAGATGGACATCAAATATGCTCACTAAAATAGTCAGTGTGGGGGATGCCTCCACAAGAGGAATTATTGCAAGGGGCTGCCCTTGGGAAGGTGTTATATCAGAACTGCTATGGAAACTGGTTCTAGACAGTCTAGAATGCAAACAGCCCTAAGAACTATTGAAAAGTGGTATGAGGACCATGCTGTTAGTCAACCCTAGGAAGACGGAAATGGTTCACTTTACGAGGAAGTGAAAACTGGGGCCAATAAAGGCACTAACTCTCCTAAACACTACGCTAAGCTTTACATCGGACGTGAAATACTTAGAAGTCACACTCAACGTAAAGCTAACATAGAATCATTTTGAAAGGAGACTAAAAAGGTGTACATATCCTATGATCAGTGCCGCAGGACCATTGGTAAAACCTGGGGAATGAAACCAAAAGTAGTCCTGTGGATAAATACTGCCATTGTGAGATCAATGGGGGCCTGCCAGCCAGGTACAAAGGATTACCTGTCTGAGTATAACTGGAGCTATGCAAACAACACCCACCATAGCAATAGAGATAATGCTGTCTGCCACCTCTAGATATCTATCTAAGAGAAGTGGCTTTGACAACTATGCTTCACCTCAAGAACGTTACTTTCAAACTGGATGTAGAATGTGGAGAAGCTAGTCGCCTATGGAATGGGGTCGTCAGGAAGGCAGGCAGACACTGAAAGTATTGCATTGGACAGACCCTACAAATAATTTCATCAGGAGACAGGAGGAAACCACTAGCAAGGATGTAATTAACGTCTTCACTGATGGACAAAAAAGGAAGGAAGGTCCAGGACGTGGAACTTATTCTAGACCCTTGCATATCCGATATCAGTGGACAATGGATAGGCATGCGACCATGGTACAAACGAAATTAGCTGGTATAACCATAGCCATCAAAGAAATTACCCGTAGACTTACTACAAGTAAAACCATAAGAATCTACACAGACAGTACTGATCTTAAGTAATCATCTGACTAGGGCAGTATGGGAAAGCCACCAGGCACTGATCGTGGCCTCAGTTTCCAACAGCATATCTATATGCTGGGTCAAGGGACACGAGCGGTGCAATGGCAATAAAGAAGCTGACAACCTAGCCAGGAGAGCATCAGGTCTCGATATTTGTAGACCTGGTCTCTCCAGTGGGCTTTTGCTTGATGAAACACCCACTAAGAGTTTATGAAATGGTGGGATGAAACAAATAGCTGTTTTGTTAAGGAGTTCCTAGAATACAGCCAAACAATACCTGGCCATGTCTAGGTCAAATCCTCACCTGACAACAGGTATTCGAACTGAACACTGTTGGCTAAGGACACCTTCTTTACATAAGGAAGTGTGAAACACCTCTTTGTAGGGGTTGTGAACAGGAAGACAAGACAGTATGTGCTATGTGAATGCACTGCCGTCTCGTCAATAAGAGAATCAGTATTGGGAGAATGTTGGCCTTCTATGACCTACATTAGAAAGATCCCCCTGAGCAACACAACTACTTTTTTCTCTGTAACAGGTTGGTTAATGGCTCAGATGGATTGATCTCTGAATGGAAGCAAGTACAAGGGGCCCAATGGGGCCTAAGTGCTGTAACTTCTTAAACTACCTTCCCCACAATTCCAGACTATACTAAATTTAGTTTGAATATTTGTGTTAATAGGAAAAATATATTTTTTGTAGGTACCTACAATTAAAGGGAAGATTTTTGGGAAAATGGTGATATAAAAACCCTTCAAAAGTAATCACATACTCTGATGTTAGTCTGACTTAGCCTGTATATTAAAGTATAAGATTTGTAACATTCTATAATTTCTATATCGGCTAATATGATAGTCATTGATTAAGTTTTGTCAAACACAAAATTTAAATGCAGTTGCTAAGATTCTCTTCAACTTGAAATTTTTGCTATTTACAAAATTTTTATACAGGGTGATTCATTAACAATGGGAAAGTCGAAAGCTGAAGATACTACACGTGAAATGGTGACCATTGGTGCAAACATGCCTTATCCGAAAGTTGATAGTTTCGGAAATACAGGGTGTTGAAAGTTAAAATTTTAAATCGTTTTTTTTGCGATTATTCTGAAAATATATAGGTTAGGAACTTGAAAATTTGTGAAACTATATTTTTTTAAGCGACGAATAAGATGCGTGTTGTAATTTCAGCATTGCTCATAGAGGGCGCCACTTACGACCAATTTTACCGAAAATTTAGTTAATAACTTTTTACCCTGTATGTCTAACATGAAACTTGATTCAAAACCTGAAAGAGCAATCATTTTTCCATTAATTATGTATTCTTGTTTCATTTCGGTATCTCGATCCGTTTTCGAGAAAAATCGATTTAACGAACACTATGTTTTGATAATACGAGAAATTAAAAGCGAAACAAACCAAGTGTTTCTTCGTGTTATTACAACAATTAACAATAAAACAAATGAAATTCGTAATAATGATTTAAAGTCAGTGTTCGAAGAATCCACCGTTGACATTTACACACTTTACACAACGTTTTCTGAGAGATCTTCGAGTTTGAAACAACATATTGGGATTGCGTTTGACTTCGTTGGCAGCGATTTGTATTCTTTGCCACAACTCTTCACACGAACCAATAGATTCTTCCAAATAGAAAAATGAAGAGGATTGAAGTCCGGACTTCTGGGTGGCCAAGTAAAAATGCTTCCACGGCTTGAAGAAGTTCCACTTTATTTAAGAAGAGACATGTGGTTCATGCACGACGGAGCTCCACCGCATTTTTCTTGGCCAGTGCGTGCATATTTAGATGCAGTTTTTCCAAATCGCTGGATTGGCCATGTAAGCATTTTTGCTTGGCCATCCAGAAGTCCGGACTTCAATCCTCTTGATTTTTCTATTTGGTCTCGAATGAAAGATATAGTTTACAAAGAATCTATTGGCTCGTGTGAAGAGTTGTGGCAAAGAATACAAATCGCTGCCAACGAAGTCAGACGCAATCCCAATATGTTGTTTCAAACTCGAAGATCTCTCAGAAAACGTGTAAAGTGTATCAGTGTCAACGGTGGATTCTTCGAACAATTACTTTAAATCATAATTACGTATTTTATTTGTTTTATTGTTAATTGTTGTAATAACACGAAGAAACACTTGGTTTGTTTCGCTTTTAATTTCTCGTATTATCAAAACATAGTGTTCGTTAAATCGATTTTTCTCGAAAACGGATCGAGATACCGAAATGAAACAAGAATACATAATTAATGGAAAAATGATTGCTCTTTCAGGTTTTGAATCAAGTTTCATGTTAGACATACAGGGTAAAAAGTTATTAACTAAATTTTCGGTAAAATTGGTCGTAAGTGGCGCCCTCTATGAGCAATGCTGAAATTACAACACGCATCTTATTCGTCGCCTAAAAAAATATAGTTTCACAAATTTTCAAGTTCCTAACCTACATATTTTCAGAATAATCGCAAAAAAACGATTTAAAATTTTAACTTTCAACACCCTGTATTTCCGAAACTATCAACTTTCGGATAAGGCATGTTTGCGCCAATGGTCACCATTTCACGTGTAGTATCTTCAGATTTCGATTTTCCCATTGTTAATGAATCACCCTGTATGTACAGACAGTGTGTAATATTTCTTTTCATTTATATTCGTCTCAAATACTAGCATCATTAGTTTATAACTGATTATAGTATGTTACTGATCAGGAATCTCCCTTATTTGAGAATTAGATAATAACACTTTTTTGTTACCTATGCATTAAAACTATACTTTGGGCTTGTTGTACTAATAATTGAGCTATGCCCTCTCCTAGAGCCATAATATCTGGATGGGATAATATACTATTATATACTCTTTGTAAATATTCTTTCATAACAGCACCATTAACCTCCTAAAAAATAAATTAATGAATGAGAAAAATCAAAAGATATAGTTGTTACGATCCTCAATTGGAACCGCATAAAAACATGTCTTATAAATTCTACGGAATCCATAGATGTCCAGAAAAATTTAGCCTTGTCTCGTCTAGATATACTATATTCTGAGCTATATAATTACCATACAATTGTCAAGTTTTTTATGATTAAAATCGCATTGTAATAAAGCATGTCGTAAAATATCTAAAGATTTATAATTATAATCAGGATAATCGCTTAATTTATCTCGAATTATGTTTAAAGTAGGAACTTTATTTTCTTTATACATATTATAAATTGTGTGCCACATTACATCTGGTAAAATAGTCAATTTTCTTTAATTTTGTATTTTTCCATTTCCTCTTTGTATCGTGATCAATGTTTCTTTAATTACGCAATAAATTGGCCTTTTTTGGATATCTTAGTTAATTTGTTAATCCGTTTCCTAACTTTTTTATCAGATTGTTCACTATTTTCAATTTTCACATTCACATATATTTAATATAATACGTCGTCTTTGTTTTTAAACTCTGAGTTTGTTTCGATACTTTCGACAAAAACCGGTTCCACTATTTGGGGATTTTCCCGAGTTATTTCCTTATCCTCCGCTTCAAAGTCTCCAGAGAGTCACGCTAAATTACTAGATAATTACATATAACATTTATTTTAATAACTTACCCTTTACTGGTTACGATATGAACAAATAATAATATCATTTAATATATATGTAATAATACGTACCCCGCCAAGCAATGCTCTGCACGGCACTGACAAAGCAGCAAAGCTAAGTGAACCCATGTACCATACAAAAAAATTATTTACGACCTAGTGGACCAATACAGGTTTGCTTTGATGACCAGCGCGCCGCCGTCAATTCTACATCAGACGGAGTAGTTTATACATCAGGCGGACTAGTTTACCAATACCGGACTCGCCGAATTGCTATTCGAGTATAAATTATGACACACCATGGTCAAAGCATAAGAAGAAATTTCAGCTTTAAGATTTACAGGTTCCAGTTGACATCGTAACAACTATACCTACCTACTCGTATTTTTAGATAATTATTTGCATTGTATTTATATTTTTACTAGCTACATCTTACACTATATAGTGTGGAACAGCCAAATGGAATAAATTCAGTATCTAAATTATTGTGCACATTTATAAAAAATCCCGGGACACATCCATTGTGGATTCTGAAATGACATTTTGCATTGTAAAAATTTCATCCCCAAATTCAACCCTCTTCGATGGGCAATTGCAACCTCTAAATTTTTAAATGAGAAGTTGAAGCTTGTGATACCTCATCTAAAAGGTATTTTCATTGTCTATTCAAAAATGCTATGGTTTTAATATTTATTGCAAAAATTATTGGTCTGCTTAACGAAATTTGTTACAACAAACAAAAATATAAAAACAGTGTTTTGTTCTTGCAGGCTAGCAAAAACAATTTCAGTGTTCTTTTTCAATATTTTCAACTAAAAAGAAGATATAAAAACTTATCAAAATTATTCATAGATGGCATTTCCAATTTTATTGAAAAAAAAAATAATGGTTGCGGTTAGGTATGTCACGCTTCAGATGTTGGAAAACATTAGAAGACATTTTTATTTACGATTAGGATGTGGTCAAGACGTTCAAGGAACGAATTTTGAATATCTTCGTTGAAATTAATTTTTTTTTAGTTTGCTGTAGCAAATTTCATCAAACTGATGAATTTATTTTTTTACTGCTAATTTTTGCAATAAATATTAAAACCATAGTATTTTTGAATAGAGAATGAAAATACCTTTCAAATGAGGGGTTATAACTGCCATTCGAAGGGGCTTGAATTTAGGAATGATTTTTTTTGTTGCAGGATGTCATTTCAGAATTCAAAATCGACGTGTCCCGGGATTTTTTTATAAATATGCACAATAATCGAGATACTGAATTTATTCCATTTGGCTGTTCCACACTGTATGTGCACTGTTTCATTTTAAAAAAAATACATCCTTTCTCCACAAGGGAGATAGAGAAAAAATGACTATTATATAAAAAATGATTATTATTTAAAAGTCATCTTTGTTCACTTTCTGGGGTTGTATTTTGTAATTTTCTTACAGTGTACAGTACTTTATATCCACAAAAAAATATCACAAGATAAAGCGTAACTTTTACAGAAACATTTACGTTTGATTTTTTGTGGCATTTTAAGTAAATCTGATTAATACTTAATATATTATTAACAGTAACAGTTACTAAAAAAAAATTATAATAGTTGAAGGTTATCGCTTGTAGTCGTACCATGTTACAGAAAAATACCGCTGGTGCCATAGTGTGTAGTGTATCAAGCTATGAGGTCACCAGCGCAAACAAAACAAAATGGCCAATAAGAATAAAGTAATGTAAGTGATGGCCATGGAATAATATTTTCCTAATAAAATTTAGGAATACTGACAGGTTTTTACAAGATATGCAATTTCGGTAGTCTAATATATACACGATGTTTCAGAAAGACCTCCTGTAAATTCGGGGGCGATAGTATGACAAAAAATAAGAATTTTTTGTCTTATGAACTATATGTCTATCTCCTATAGTTTTTGAGATATAGAGCGACAAAATAAAATTTTTTAAATAGAATTTTTACAAAAATTTCCAAACGGTGCGAAATATTTTTATGAAATTTTGTATTCCGGGGTTTTTAAGGATGCCAAATACGCTGGTCTAATTATTTTTTGGATATTTCATAGAGGGAGCTAGTTACGCTACATTTCTATTACATTTTAGGTTCTAATTTTTTTAAGGTTAGGTTTTTTACCATTCGGGCAACAATTTCTATGTACAATTTTATTTTCTAAAAATAATGTACTCTTGTGCTAATGTGGACGGTTTTCGGGAAAAAAGGCTTTTAATTGAACTCTTACAATATTACTGTGTAGAAAATAAGTGACTTTTCTCAAAGTAGGCTTATGTCAAAACTTATTGATGATTGTCTCATAAACAACGCATACATTCTCAGTAATATTTTAAAGTCTAATTAACTTTATATCAAAATTTTAGTGACTGTAATTAGTCATTACTAACTACAGTCACTAACAATCACTAAAGAGATTTGGGAAAGACGAGAGATCCGAAAAGGCTGACAAAACAATCTAATAGTGCCGCTCTATAATTGTATATAATGCAATATGTTTTCTTTGTTGAAGAAAGAAATGGGAGAGGAACAAGCAGTTCCCAGACCCAAAAGACAGACAAATGATAATATACAGGGTGGTGCAACCAAGATGGGGTGGAAGATTACGCCTGAACGACGAGGAATTATGAAATAATTTTTTGTCACGAGGTGCATAGTTAAGAGATCCATATTCTAAAAAAATTTTCATTATACAGGGTGCACACAAAAGTCCGTGGCAAACCAAACATGTTTTTTTAAATGGAACACCCTGTATTTAAATACTAAAATGAATTCTACCTATTACTACGATGTTTTTGATATAATGGTTGATGAGTCTAAAGTTTATAGTTTTAGAGAAAATGGCGCTTAAACTTGAAAAACTACCCCCAAATCAATCAAATTCCTCCCCCATCTGAAAAGGTTGTCAAAAAACAAAACCTAGTACAAAATGTACCATATCCTTGGGTATAATAATGAATCCTCACTGATTAAAAAATCACTGACTAATATACAGGGTGATGGAGCTTGACTATTTCACTCGAAAGTCAATTTTTTTAAATGGAACACCCTAAATTTTATTTGCCCATGTTAAAGGCAATAAAACCAGCTTTCAAAAAATATGGCACATGATACCCTTCAATAAAATACTTTCTTAGGAAATCATTGGAAACTTTAATTTTTCAAAGAACGACTGAAACCAACTGTGAAATAACGACTAAAAGTTCAAAAATGATCAATATGATATCAGTTCTATACGAATGTCAAAGAAATCCGTTATTAGCTAGTAGAGTGTATGCGGCACAATATCCGGAAAACGAGAAAAAACCAAGGCCTGAAGCTTTTCGCTCATTATTGAACCGATTTGAAGAGACAGGAAGTGTTGTATTCAAAAAACGTGCATTAGTTAACAAAACCAGTAACAAATGAAGAAAATCAACTACCAGTATTACTAACTGTACAAGAAAATCCACAAACAAGTACTAGAGAAATTGAGAGAAGCCTAGGTATAGACCGCACTAGCGTCAAAAGAATTTTGAAGCAGCATAAATATCACGCCTATCACATGGAATTACATCAGCAACTTTATGATCGGAATTTTAACAGCAGGGAAAACTTTTCTATTTTGATGTTAAACAGGGTTAGGGATGATCCCAATTTTATAGATAAAGTGCTGTTCTCCGACGAAGCAACTTTTAAAAGTAACGGTGTGATTAATCGCCATAATATGCACTTTTATTCAGTAGAAAACCCTCATTGGGTTCGCCAAATTGATCACCAAAATAAGTGGTCTATAAATGTTTGGGGTGGAATAATTAGTACTCACGTGATAGGCCCCAATTTTTTCGAGGATCATCTTACTGGTGAAATCTTTAAATTTTTTAGAAAATGAATTGCCGCTGCTTTTAGAAAATTTAAATTTAGCACTAAGAAATTCTTTCTGGTTTCAACATGACGGAGCCCCGCCACATATTCACATAAATGTACAAAATTACTTAAACAAGTGGAAGAGGAATCAGTGGATTGGCCGTGGTGGTCCGATTGTGTGGCCGGATTTTGCGGCCAGATCTCCTGATCTGACCTGCGCGCCGATGGACTACTTTTTGTATGGGATATGTCTCAGAACAAGTATATAAAATGCCTCCAACAACGGCAGATGATACGAAAATACGGATTCAAGAATGTTTCAATCAAATTACAGAGCAGACCTTACAAAATGTTGAACGTTCCTTCATACATCGGCTTGAAATATGTCTTCAACAAAATGGCGGCCTGATTGAACAACTCTTATAAAGCATTTACATCTTTCTGTAACGTTAGTAATAATGGTATTGATTTTCTTTATTTGTAATTGATTTATTAACTACTGTATATTTTGTGAATGTAACCCTTCCTTTCTCTTAAAACAGTTCAATAAAGAATGAGAAGCTACAGTTTACTGACATCATAGCCCCTTACTAAATGTTGAAGTTTTGGTCGTTATTTCATAGTTTGTTTCAGTCGTTCTTTGAAAAATCAAAGTTTTCCTATGATTTCCTAATAAAGTATTTTATTGAAGGGTATCATGGTGCCATATTTTTTGAAAGCTGGTTTTATTGCCTTTAACATGGGCAAATAAAATTTAGGGTGTTCCATTTAAAAAAATTGACTTTCGAGTGAAATAGTCAAGCTCCATCACCCTGTATATTAGTCAGTGATTTTTTAATCAGTGAACATTCATTATTATACCCAAGGATATGGTACATTTTGTACTAGGTTCTGTTTTTTGACAACCTTTTTAGATGGGGGAGGAATTTGATTGATTTGGGGGTAGTTTTTCAAGTTTAAGCCCCATTTTCTCTAAAACTATAAACTTTAGACTCATGAACCATTATATCAAAAGCATCGTAGTTATGGGTAGAATTCATTTTAGTATTCAAATACAGGGTGTTCCATTTAAAAAAACATATGTTTGGTTTGCCACGGACTTTTGTGTGCATCCTGTATAATGAAAATATTTTTAGAATATAGATCTCTTAACTATGTACCTCGCGACAAAAAATTATTTCATTATTCCTCGTCGGTCAGGCGTAATCTTCCACCCCATCTTGGTTGCACCACCCTGTATACATATTGAAAAATCCAATAGAAAAAATAGAAAATGGAGAGAGACATACTGATATTTGTCATTCTAAGAGCATCGTTCAATTCGATAGAAGAGTCAAAGATATAAAAATTCCTGTAAAAATTAAAGTCCCACTAATTTTTATACAAGTAATAGTCTCAGTTCATTGTTATTTATAATACTAGTGAATGAGTTAATGAGGACTAACAGAATAAGAAAGCAACTGCAGATAATAATAGGGTCACATATTACAATTAGTAAAATTGAAAGTTCTGATGTACATAGATGATATTTTGATTACTTAAAAATTAAAAAAATTATAGATATATGGGCAGTACAAATAACAATTGGAAATGGAATGAAACATGACAAAAAGCAAAATAATGGTGATAAATGGCAAAGAAATCAACAAAACAAGAATAAAATACAGAAATATAGTAGCTAGAAACAGTAAAAATTTATGAATATCTGGTTAATCATTGCTGACGATGAAAAAATCGAATTTTGAACTAGAAACGAAGAGTGGAAAATTTGAATAAGTGACATTATTCAATAAACAAGACACTAGGACAGGGAGAATTGATAATAGAAATGAAATTAAGAATATTGAATTCAATCAACTGAACTGGTACGGACATGCGATGAGGATGGAATCAAATAGAATAACATGGAGGGTACACAAAGCAAGAAATGTAACATAAAAGAGGAATAAAACAAATAGCAGAGGCGGGAAAAATAAGAGAGAAACTGTAAAGGGGAAGAAAGTACCTAACGAAAGAAAATAGGAACACATGGGATTAGTGGTTATATAGAAATATAGGACACTAATCCAAATCCAACGCCCGTGAAGTGTAAATAGAAGGAGAGTAGGAAAGAAAAGGTTAATGCCTATAGAAGTTAATTATACAGATATCCACTTTTGATTGGAATCTAGGGTATCTTAGAAAATAAGTATGGTAAACACCGAAGACACATACTCAAATCAGAAATTTGATACCTCCATTTGTTTTCGAGATAATGGGATAATAGTCATTTTTGTAATATTTTTTTACCATTTCTGTACCTTTGCTGCTAATTGAATTAAGATAAAAACTGGCTCATATTTTTTCAGAATGGACTTAATAGATGATATTGGTGTTTTTAGTAGCAAAATTGTATTTTTTTTAAATGAGTATTAGTTATGGTCTAGAAACATTTATTCAGGTTTTTTTTTATTTTATTAATATATTTCTACTAAGGTTAAACATTAAGTTTATTAACGAAGGATTTATGAAAAAAAATTACAAAAAACTTATATTGTGTCTTCAATTTATTGGGAACAAGTAACAAAAATAAACAATGGTACTACATAATTAAAAATTTAAAAGAAAAGTGTGATACAGAAAAAATACATAAACGAGATGTATAGGAGTCCCAAAATTAGCACACAATATTTTATCAATGCATTTTATGATTAAAAATAAGAGAAAAACATTGCCTCCTAAAGCGATTACAGCTCCTTAAATGTGAGCCGATTAAAATTGCTTACTCCAGACGCGATAATAAAATAATATCTAAATTTTAATGAGGAGCATCTGTTCCATATTGGGAGTGTTGTGGATAGATATTTCTTCAACTTTTTCATATGCGGACATTTCAAAAATTTAAGCAACAATTTATGCTACAAAAAGTAATAATTTATATAAATAGTGAGCTCTTCAAGAAACAATTGGAAAAAAAAATTTGTAGAAGGAAAAACATAACTTAGTTATGTTGATCAAATGTGGTTTTTTTGTACTATTATTTTATTAATGCTCCTTAACTTTTTTTTGTAAGTATCTTTCTCTCAGTTTTTGATGCTGTTGGTTTTACATTTTTTTTTGTGTTATTTAATACTCCCGCTGTCAATATCTCTGAAATGAAGAAATTTATTTAGTTCCCAAATAGCTTCAAATTGCAGTTAGAATTGTTAGTTCAAATCTTTCTGTATAGATGGTGCAAGGATACTAAAAAATGTATTGATTCCTGGAACGTGGATGTGCGGTTCATCTGAACATCGTTAAATTTTGAGTAATTCTTGTAATATAAAGTTTTTCCCAATATTTACTTTTTCAATAAGGATAAAAGCCATGGATAGTGACCATTCGTGAAAGCTAAAATGAGAGCTTTGGACTAGTTTTAATACACGTTTCTTACATTTCTCATGTTGTTCGTGGAATATTAGTGGCTCTTGACGCTGTGCGGATGCTGACATTAGAATGATCATCAAATTGATTTAAGGCATTTTAAAAATTATAATCATTTGGTGGTCTTCCTTGACCTCTACGTCCAAGTTGCCTCCGATTTGTGTATCCCCGTTGGTATTCCCTTGGTGCCGCTAATGCTCTCCCATTACAAAATCCATACACAAAATGAATGTCTATTAAAATTCTGCATTTTTGTTTAGATTTTACTTAAAGTCCAATACAGCACCGTAAAGTGAATGCAAAAATTTAAGTTTAATAATCTGTCAAATTAATTCAAGTAAACAAACGTTTGTTTTTATGGCCTATCTACCTATTCATGTAATCCTTTTTCATTCTTGAGATTATGTAATAAAACTTTAAAATCAATTTTTACCGAAAACGAAGCATTTTAACGAAGTAAATCAAGAGTACATTTTCTTGTAAAAAACTCATAGATATCATAGATTGATGTTTAAATTTGAAAATATTGACATGCAAAAAATTGGGGGCGCATTTTACCCGTGAGCCCCCCTGACTAAAATGTTTAAACAGTTTTCATGTAGTTCGTTAGAACATTCATTGAGTGTCCAACATACCAAAATTCATAATATGTTAACTGGTTTTGGAAATATTTTGAAAAATATGATCTCCTGAGGCCTCTTTAGAAGGACGTAGCTCCTTTCAGAAGCATTTTTCAACCCTTGTTTATAGGAAAAATTAATCTTATATTTGATCGTAGAATATACTGCTGAAGTATTGCACACTAATTATGGGACAACTTGTAGATATAACATATAAAAGATCTGTTCATAGTATGCTAATTATTGGACACTCTGTATACTCACACAGCCAAATTACCTACTCAAAATAGCTAGTTTGTTGCTTGTCTCACCTATGGCATACCGATGAAAACTAATAATGTCGAAACCAGATTGAGAGTGTAATTCATTACTGATTCAAAGACCATTAGCCACCCCTCCCCCTACCTCTGTAGTTGTTTCCTCACAATATCTTTAACTAAATTTTTCTACATTTTGGGATATTGTTTTATTATTTATTTTGCTAATCTTGAATATTATAACAGAAGATGTTATTAAGCTATTCCTAACTACAATACATGGTAGATATAATAAAACAAAACTTTAATTGAATAAATCCACTTTTATATGTTATAAGTTAAAATAATATAGTAGTAGACAATTCTGTTTCCTACCAGAAGTTATTCCTGTTTTTAATGTAGTCACGCTTTTATTAGAATTGACCTAAAAAGGAAAAAAAAAATTAAAATTTACTTTTTAAAAAGAATACTGATGTACATACATTGTTTAAAATTTCTAATCCATGTCTTAATGAAAATATTTTAGTTCTTTAAATTTCTTCAGAATTTTCAGGAAACCTGGAAAGTAAAAATAATCAGAATTCAAATACCTATTTGTGAAAAATAAAATAAAAATTGGTAATATTAACTTGTGACTCAAAAGCAACTATAACAGACAGCATCGAAATCAAATATACAATAAAAATATGCCAACTTATTATTCCCAAAAATTATACCTCATTTACCAGGTTGTCATGAAAGTATTGCCTACAAAATGTCTGGGTTAGTAGGAAATAGTTTTGGAATTTTGTCACTAAAATGTAACTAATGAAAATTTGTCATATTTGCCAATACTATGTTTAATCTAATCAAGCCATGACTAAGTAACTTCTAGACTAGTTGCTATATCATTGGTTCGCACCGATATTACACTAGGAACAGTTTAATAAAGGCATTCTTAATGTAAGTAACTAAGGACTTTTTAATGTTGCATGATATTATGGAAGATAAAAAGATCTTAGTTAATTACTGAAATTAGTTCTAATTTTAGCATAGCATTTTAGCATCAGCATAAACTATACTTAATTTGTTAGCATATTGCACGGAACAATTAACAAGATATATCTTTATGGAGGCAATATGCAGAAATCTAGTGACTCATTACTTTATGTTAGGTAGTTCTTGTTTTTCTTCAGTTCGTATCATGGGCACATCATAGCACCATAGTACAAAGTAAAAATACTGATTTTGAATATTAAACTTTTCACTGTCTAAAAATTGTTTGTGGATTTTTATAAATTGTGGATGTTACAGTATAAATCAATGTACACCTCCAAAATCACCAACAGTAATTAAATGCCCAACCAATGCCCAAAATATGAAATGTATAAATTAATAACTCATTCATAGGACTGACAGTATTGTTTCTAAAATGGAGAAAAAACTTATAATGGACAATCTCTAAAATATCTAGGTCATCTTCAAATATGCCATTCATTCGAATATCCATTTTTGTACTCTTTTTAGTTAAAAATACAAAATACAGGCACGATAAATGCATGTATATTTTGCATTTCTAGCGGTACTGCATTGTCGCTGAACTTGTGTAACTTCTGCGCAAGGTCTAAACATGTTATCAATTAAATAACATCTTAAGCAGCCATTACAGGGAGGCTTAAATTCAAGAACCTGTTTTCTTGTTTAAGAAGAGTTAAGAAGAAGAATGTTAAGTAATGCTTATTAATTTCGGTGGAAATTGCTCTGCTTGATATTTATATGTATTTGCTGTCCAAGGCGTTGTAGAACATTCCTCCGAATATAGGAATATGTATTTGGCAACATATCTGCCTTATAAATAAGGATGTACTAACAGATAAGAAAACACAAAATTTCTCAAGACAAGCTGCAGGAACGATCTACTCCAATGTATACAGCCTTCATAAATGTTTACAAGCCACATGACCGCCGAGCTTTGGCAAACTAACATTGCACCATTGGTACCAGTAACAGAAATTCTCTAAGTCTTGGCATCACCAATTTTAATGCCTCCTTTACAATAAATAATGACAAACCATTATATCTACGCTCGAGAGAATGCAATCACTGATTTGTTGAATAGTATCTCGTGAAAAATTACACCAATCACAGCCAATGAAACAGAATGTTGCATTTTAATGTGATAAGAGAAACTTCAAGAAATTGAAACCAACGATGTGACAACCCAAGATCACTAAAAGGAGAAGGTTGCCTACAAACTGCTGATCCCCTTCGCACTACGTCTGCCTGCCTATAAACTGATGAGTGACATCATTCATTGTATAAAGCGAATAACGTCATCATTAAACATTGTTATATTTGCTAATAAATTTACCAAATTTCAGTTATCATCTGTATTTTTGAAGTTTCCCTGTGTCATGTATCACAGGAATTGTTGTTCTTGTTTTTTTATGTTAGATTGTTCTTTAAGTACTGTTGAGCTCACAAACTTTTATCTAAAACTACGTCAAGTTATAATTCTGGAGGCCCAATTTGTAGTGTAGATACTTATAAAAGTATCGTAATGCTGAGAAAAGAAACTGGTGAGACTATTAGTTTTCACATGTTTTCAAAAGATCCTCAGTTAAAAAAGAATGGATTAGATAGTGCTATCAAAAATATGTTGTTAATCTTGCTAACAAAAGAATATTTGTAGTAAGCATTTTTATAAAAAGATTTCAAAGATATATGCCATATAGGGATAACCTGCAAAGGAATTAAAATCAACAGGTATACATTTTTATTCTGATCTATAGGTACATACTTATTAATCCAGATAAATCGTTTTAGAAGATTGAGTCACACGAAAAAAATAAACGCTGATAGTAAGTGAATGTTTTGAATCGAAAGCCATAATGAGACATCTGTATTCTATATATGAATATTAAAAATTCCTGGGATAAGTATTGTTAAATTGAGTAAGAGTTGGAGAGATTGGAAATGTGGTGCAAGAGAGTTGGAATGAGAGTTTCTATAACGAGATAAGTTTACATTTAAAGGCTCTCCAAGAATCTTGGATCTTATTTCCAAAACCAGGCCTGATATCATTGAATATATCTGGTTTATATAACAAGTGTAGCTTATTGTATAACCAATGACGAACACTTTTTTTCAGACATTTTCCTATGTCAAGATTCCATTATCTGTGGTCAATATATGCTGAAATATCAAAGCAGGGAGACTAGATAAGGAGCACGAACTCATACGGGAAAATTGACAAAATTTGTCCAAGAAATGGCAGAAGTTGGGGTGGCGCTAGTGTTCCATATGTCCCAAATGAATGTAGCTAAATAAATACGAGTGAAATAAGCAAATAACCAATTTTATTTTTGAGTTTAGTAGATATATCGTGGAGAGGGGAGGTATACCTACTAACCTAAAAATTAGAAGTCGTCAATAATTATTACAATTTGTTTTTATAAATGGTAAATAAAAAGTTTCAAAAATAATTTAAATATGGTAATAGTATGTGAAGTGAATGACTGTCAACAGATTTAAAATAAAACAGTACGTTTGTGATCTGCATTTTCAATCTAATGATGTCCAGCAGTTCTATATTACAACTTGACCGAATAGTGGGTTAATATTATGGCAAAAGATCGAATAATTCGGAAGTTGGAAGCAGCTTCTTTTATTCTAAATACGGTAGAGAAATTTTTAAATAGAAAGATTTCATAAGTGAAAATATTGTATAATTGAATGATGCATTGTTTCTTTATATATCTTGCAGCAGCATCAACAGCAAGAGCATCCACTACACCAGCAACAACAGGTGCAGCAGCTACAACAAGAGCAACAGTTACAACAGCAACAACAAGAACAGCAAGTAAATCAAGAGCAATTAAGTTACGATGAGATTATACTAGAAAGAGCATCCTGTCCTGTATAATCTAATAAAAGAAAAGTTCTGTTGACGTGTGATGATGAGGTCTCGACAAAGCAACGATGAATATGTTCACATAATATTGACAATAGCAACAAAGTATTTCTACATATTCTTGTAATTTATATTACGTGCATAAATAATTAAATTTCATATAATTCTTGCTGGTGACATCGTTATCATTACTGAATTGAATAAATCATTTCCAATTAGTTGCTGTCTCTTTCCTGTTAGTAAAAAAACTGATTGAAATTCAGATATCATATAAAATTTAAAGAGAGGATACGTGTAGTAATTGATGCTGATTGATCTTTATTGGTAACTGACTACTTTTACTAAATATTTAAACATGGAAATCAATTGCTTCATGAACAAAATGAAATTTTAAGAAGATAGACTGACACGTATTACTTATTTTTAAGAAGAGTTCCTGTTTTATTTGTAATATATATTTACTTTGTTACTTGTTATGAATAAATATTTATTTTATTTTAATTAGGCACAAATAATTTCGATTTTTTTATTCAATTAATAAAACATTGAAATCTGGTAAATAAACATTTTATTTTTACAAAATATATAACAAAAATATAGAACATTGCTAAAATATTTCTTTATAATACCTTATCAATTTTGGTCTATACTCTACCTTGGAATAAGTCATGGAACCATGTTACGTTAGAATTAAATCAACAATTTTACGAAAGTAGAATTAAATTTTACAGCAATTTTAAAATATATACCCAGAAAACTAATCGATTTTAAACAGTTATAAAATATTTAGATTACCAATTTTTTGTGACCTTTATAATGGAGTATATTTTGTTAAAATTTTGGTATCAATTGGTTGTCATGTTGTTTTAAGCTTCTTGACATTTTGAGAGACATATCATTCTGACCAAAAGAAACAGTTCCAGATCTCTTCTGAAGAAGAGAGTGATATGACTCTCGAAGCATTGAGAAGTCTAAACCGACAACATGGCAATCAGCTTAGAAATTGTCCAACCATAATTTATCGACTTTCCATAGTCAGTTTTCAGTTACACTAATATAGTATATTATTGGTTATTCAAAAACATATGGATTGTGATATACTCTATCTTATATGAATTCCTTTCCCATCAATTATTCCTATAACCTGCTCTGGAAATTCATATTGGGCAAAATATTGTTCGATTACAACTGCCTCATTATCTCGGCCATTCTATAATTTGTGGAGACAAGTTACTTAGCAAGTATGTAACTTTTCTGGTTGTTGTAGAGCTTAAGGCAATGCAAAATTTACCAGAATCATGGGTGAAATAATTAGAAATGGCAAATTTTTCTTCAATTCTGTTAGCTACTTCCCTGATGCTAACACGGAAATGTTAAAAAAACTTGGCCACTATATTCAGGTACAGTAATTTCAAAGCTGGACAATGCGTCTAATAAGTCATATGAATCACTGGACTCAAAATCGGACAACTGTAATATTTTAAAAAGTTTATTTAAAATACTGAGTTTTTTTATATTCTATTTTTTATTACAAGTAAAAATTCCATATTAATAATACAAGAATTACTATTTTTTTAAAGGCAACTTCCTGTATAAAATGTGATTATTTTTTACAAACATTAAACTAAAATCTTTAACAAAGTAATTATCAAAAACATAAACTTTACTTATAGGTTAATATTAACAAGAACAAGATCACGTCATAAATTCCTTGAAAACTAGTTTCTTTCTACGAACACCAAATTCTTCTCGTAAAGCTAATATTTTTTACTATCTATTTAGTTTAATGACATATTTTCATGATTTATATAATTCAAAGAAGCTTACATTATTTATTTTAAAATTTTTAACACATTACAAAAATGACATGATTGATTTATAATTCAAACTGCCGCTTTTTATAATATTCAAAACTGCCGCTTTTTATCTCCCCTCTCTACATATGGGACATATGGAACACTAGCGCCCTCTTATTTTTGTAAGATTTTTGTTTACATGGAGTTCGGGCTCCTTGTATAGTCTCCATGTATCAAAGTTTCAACGTAGATAAAAACAAAATTGACAGAACACATTACAAAAATTTGTAAAAGGGTTTCCAGAATTTTAATGATTGTTTTGTAGTTTAATTTTGAAAATATGTGGGTATTTTATTGTATTTGCTTCTCTATTTACCATATTACGTTTGAAATAGGAAATCTATAGATATAACACTGAATTAGGTAATTATTACACTGCTAATTGTGCTTATGTATGTACCTGATGAATTTTAATTTAAATTAGTATACATTAAGTATACGTTGCTCGTTGTATACAAAGACCACTTAGAACAGTTTCTTCTCATACTGAAAGTAGATATATGAAGGGCTCAGAAGCCAATCAGTCAGTGTAAGTCACTGAATATAGAAAGTGAGAAAATTGTCCATTTGTAAACCTTGTAATAAAATAAAGATTTCCGTAAAGATATTAATAATTATTTTTATTAAGATATAACATTTCATACATCAACTTTAAGAAGAAACTTTCAATACGTAACTCAATTTGAAAAGTGATTTACCCTGATTGGTTTCTGAGCCCTACATATCATAAAGCTATAATTTAGTCGCATCTGAACCCAAATTATGACTCATTATTTTGTAGTAGCATCGAAAATCCTTGGTTTACGTTAAATACTTAATTATAGATTGTACATCAAATTGTTTTTGTAGTTCTTTTTTACATATTCTAAAACTGTAAAAATGTTGCAACTGTACTCAAGCAGAAATGATTTAAATGATTAATAATTCAAATAACGTATATTGAATTAATGGAAATCAAAACAGCCCAAAAATGACCTATTTCCGCCTTAGAAATGATGCAATGCCACTGGGTCAAAGTTTGTAGGCAACTTATTCCTTTTAGGTGACAACCAGTCTGGAAATCCTTCAGCCATTGACAACTGCCATGGACCAAACTAATCAAATCATTCTATTTGACATAAAATGCTTCATTATTTCTGGTTATACTGGAAATTGTATTTTAGGGGAAACAATGTTATATCCTAGCCTTAGTTAGCAGCATTTCATATATTGTAAGTAGTCATTCGGATATGAAGTACAAAAATGATTACTGTATCATGCTAGTATTTATGTATTGTTTTTCTGGTTGCATTTCAAAAATTCTAAGTTTAACATAATTTCTCTTCATAATTTTACAAAAAATAAATTCAAAGTTTGTTCTAGATTAATGTCAAAGTCGAGCTACCACTTCGTAACTATTTCTTATTGTTTCTTTCGCCCTTTCTGTCTTTCTGAGTTATAATATTTTATAAATTTTACTATTATTAATTTTGTCACATCATATAACTTTCTCTGATAAAAAATTCAAATAAACGTAGGTCCACAAATGTTTTATTCTTGAGATATAGGATCACAATATTATTATTTTTTTAAGTTAAATGTATATTTACTATACTTACATATAGAAATAAGTTTTTATAAACATGGCAATATATTTTTTTGATCAAATACAATTATGACTGAATATGTTAAAATAGTTTTTCTTGGGATAATAATTGACAATTACATTGAAAACTACTAAATTATATGGCAAAGAAATATAAATAAGCAAATTAAAAAATTAGTTGGTTAAAAAAAAAATTAAACATGCAATTGCTTTTCAATATTTAAATTCTTTATATATTTACAAAGTGGATCATGCAAATCTGTTTTACAGTAAAAAATTACTTACCCTTCATTTATTTCTATTTATATTTGATTGCATCAATTTTTGTAGTTTTTCTAAATAAAACTTTTTATGAAGAAATGTGACGAACAGTAGGTAACTAACCAATAATTTCAACTACACAAAATAGACCAAAATAATTATTTCTTATTGAGTGATAAATGTATAATGTTAAGGTTGATATAAAGCAATAAAAAATAACAATAAAACCATGAAATTATGAATATCTTTGTTTAAAGCTATATGAGAGATGGATTTACCATGTACTACACAAATTAAAATAAGTATAAAATGAAGTGGTTACTATAGTATTTCTGATGCTGTACAACTATTTGTTTTTATGTGCCATTTAGCAGTAAAAAAGTAATAGTAAGAATGAAAAAAGACAGCGTGACAGCTGATAGTTCAGGGTTATTAAAAATGAAGCGGTACACAAAAGAACAACCCGTTTTCATTGTTGAGTAATATTTTAACAATAATGAAGGTTTGGCAAGTAAAGTTTATTTATTTTCGGACAAAATATGGTCGTAATAGTGATTTAAATTCATCAACTGCGAAGAGATTAATTGAAAAAATCAGGATCAATTAGTGATCTTAAACACTCTAGCTGTCCTTTATCAAGTCGTTCAACACAAAATATTGCAGCAGTTTGTGAGAGTATTGTTGAGTGTCAAGGAATATCAATTCGGCAACCTTAGTCAAGAAATGGACAGTTCAAGATGTCCTCTACAGCGTATTCATGAAAGATATGCATCCTCATGTTTACAAAATTCAATTGACTTAAGAGTAGTCTACTGACTGCATAGAGTGAAGGGTTTGGGCTGGAGTTATCATCAGACCATCCTTCTTTGAAAAAGCAACTGATCAGGCAATAACAGTTAATGATGACATGATAATCCAGTTTTGTGTGCTTAAATTGCAAGATATGGATGTAGACAACATGTGGTTTCAACAAGACAGTGCCACATGCCATATGTGAGAAACAATTCAATTACTACATGAGTCATTTCTTGGTCGTGTAATTTCCCATTTTGGTGATCAGAATTGGTTGCCCAGATAACGAGATTTAACACCGTTGGACTTTTTTCTTAGGGGTTTTTCGAAATCTAAGGTTTATGCCAACAATCCCAGAACGACCCACGCCTTGAAGAAGGAAATTGACGCTGAAGCAACAACATTCAGTCGCATTTATGCAAAACGGTAATGAAAAATTACGACAAAAGTGTACGCATGTGCCTGCATAGCCTTGGAAGCCATTTACCCGATATGCTATTTCATATATAACTCTATACTGTATACTGTATGGATCAATACAAAATCAATGGATCAATGTATGGATCAATGTATGTATGGATCAATTAAAAACCTGTTTTCTATCAAATTACTTCTTGCGTGAATTTTAGGACACCCTTTATTTTAAGTGGGTATTACTCAATTGTAGGATAAAAAAATTATACATTCACATCTGGTGTCACTACAATATACAAGGTGTTTCAGAAAGACCTTTCGTAAATTCAGGAGGTGATAGTATGACAAAAAATAAGAATTTTTTTGTCTTATTAACTATATGTCCATCTCTCTTGTTTTCGAGATACAGAATGACAAAATAAAATTTTTAAATAGAATTTTTACAAAAATTTCCAAACGGTGCAAAATATTTTTATGAAATTTGGTATTCCGGGGTTTTTAAGGACGTCAAATATGCTGGTCTAATTATTTTTTGGATATTTCATAGAGGGCGCTAGATACGCTACATTCCTATTACATTTTAGGTTCAAATTTTTTTAAAGTTAGGTTTTTTACCATTCGGGCTCCTATTTCTAAAGTACAATTTTATTTTTTAAAAATAATGTACTCTTGTTAGAACTTCCTAATGTGGACGGTTTTCGAGAAAAAAGGCTTTTAATTGAACTCTTACAATATTACGGTGAAGAAAATAAGTGACTTTTGTCAAAGTAGACTTATGTCAAAACCGAGGTCAAAACTTATTGATGGATGTCTTATAAACAACGCATACATTCTCAGTAATAATTTATACTCTAATTAACTTTATATCAAAATTTTAGTGACTAACAAACAATAAATTATAAAAAAAAAATGAATGATCAACTACAGAAAAAAAATTGTACAATGGCAAATCTTGTAAGGGGCAGAGACGAACCCTATTTTTCAAATGTTATTAACCCATTAGCGCCTAAAGGTACCATATGGAGCCAATAAACGTCAAGATAAAAAGTGGGACTTGAGTGATTTTTTGCTAGCTTTCATCAATCTGCTTATTTGCACGTCTTCAGTATGATTTATGAAGCCCTTAGGAGAGTTCATGCGGTGTTTTGTTTACATTTGACATTTTTTTGTATCGAGTGAAAAACTTGTTTGTACGAGTTTGTTGAAAAAATTATTAGATATTTTATTCTGTACT